CCCCGCTGTGGTGCTTGCTGGTGGTGGGAGTTGGGCTGGTAACACCCAGCCCCTCCCTCTTTGTTCACCATTGGATTCTGAGTAAGCACCCAGGGGTGAGCAGAGTGGCAGGGCTCCTCAGAGCTGGGGGCGGGGCTCTCGGAAAGCCAGTCTGCCTGCAGGTTCCTTTTGGTTGAGAGGCCATTTGGAACCTGGAAGTCGGGGGTGTCACCTACAGAATGAATGGCCGGATGCTGTCGGGGGAGGGGAGGTAAAGGGCCGAGTTGGGTGACAAACAGAAGTCACCTGACGTTCAGGTATGGAGGTCTCAGTCCTTTTCTCTTAACATCCAGGTCTAAGATCCCTGATTACTCCTTGTTCTCAATGCTGGGGACCATGGACAGAAACCGAGGCAGGACACAGAAAAGGCCAATAGGCGATATTTTAAATCTGTCTCCCCTGTGTGTCAAGTAATACATAAGTAACAAGGGCTATGACACTTTTTTGTCAGAAATGTCATTGCTGGGACTAAGAAACTGACTTTTTCAGGGTTATGGAGTTTATGTACCATGATTATAAATCCAGATAGGTTATTGGGTCAGAAAGATTCTTACATGTAAATGGTGTTGAGAAAAACTCCTTTCATGCTTTCCCCAGCATGTCTGGGATGAGGAGAATAGAGCAGCAGGTAGACAGTACTAGCTATCACATCTTGATCACTTTCTATGTGTCAGGTACTGTTTTAAGTATGGGCAGTATTATCTCACTTAATGAGAGGGGGGGAGTGAGAGAAGAGGTGAAGGGAGGGAAGGGGAGGGGAGGAGAGGAGAGAAACATCGATATGAGAGGAACATCAATCAGCTGTCCTCCCCACCCCCAGTACTTGCACAGATGAGGGATCGAACCTGAAACCTAGGTATGTGCCCTGACTGGGAATCAAGCCTGCAACCTTTTGGTGTAGGTAAGATGCTCCAATCAACTGAGCCACCGGCCAGGGCAATACTTAATATATTTTATTTCAACTATTTTTTAGTTCATTTTCCTAATTTTGAGATGGATATTATTACATCTGTTAGACCGATGAAGTGACCAAGACTCAAATAACTTACCTAAAGCTATACTGGTTTAAAGTGACAGAACCATGATTACTCCAGTGATTTCCAAGGTTCCTAGGGAAATGAGTGGACCATTCAGAGAAAGAGTTAGATTGGCGAAATGTGCGTAGTGTGGTTTTATGTGTAGAATCAAATGGCAGATGCTATAGAAAAGCTATGGAGATGTGGGGGCCTGTGGCTATAAGGTCTAAAGGGGGCCTCCACTGCTTTCTCCTGTTTACACATCTATAATAATAAAAGGGTAATATGCTAATTAGACCAGACGTCCTTCCGGATGACCTTCCAGACGAAGCCGGTGCTGCGAGGGAAGCCTGGGTCCTGGGTGCCAGAGGGAAGCCAGTGCTGGCGCAGCCAGGGGAAGGAAGGCCTAGTCTTGCACGAATTTCGTGCATTGGGCCTCTAGTTTTTAATAATGTTGTCTTGAACATGAAAATACCAGCAAACCCAGCTGCAGTGTTTGCCTAATTATAGTGTGATGCCAGGTTTCCCTGGTTGTCTGATAGTTTGAATCCAGCCACAGTGAGTCAGCTGGGTGAGGCTCCACCCATCCTGGAAAAATTTTCCACTTGAATCTTGAAATCTCT